CGCCGCAGCGCACTCTCTACAACCAGCTTTGCTTTTCATACCATGCTAAAAAAGTTTTTGTGGAAATAGAATTCTTAGCCAGAGTCACTTTCCACTTTCGGCAAATGAAATAAACAACTTGCAACATTTTTCWCACACACAYACACACACTCAACTGAAGCTATTGCGTCACGCAACAAACGCTCTCGTACATTTAAAGTGAGTTTAGCTTAGTAAGTCAYCTTCCATTTAGTTGAGTAGTGCGTGTGGGTGCAACTTGGTTGCATGAACTGCATATGTGTTATATAGAATTAAAAGTTACGTGATCTTATCAAAAGGTCAAGCGCTAGTTTAATGTGGTATTTATTCCTCCTTTTGCTTTATACCGACTTCTAGTTTGATGGTACTGGAAAGCAGCAGAAGGTTTTAGTTTAAGCTTTAATATCACTTCTTACTTTTTGGGTTCTTGTGGTCAATATATTTGATCATTTTAAAGTATATGTCCACACTTCTTGCACGACTTTTTGTCTTCTAAAATTGTTCATTGGATTATTTTTAAAAGCATCTGTTCACATTTGTTCGAAGGATATTTTATTYTAAAGTTATATCTATTATATTTTAGAACCTACCACATAAGTTCCAGGCAAACCATCAGTTAAGATATGTCTGTACACCGAAAAAGTATAGTTGTGGTATTAGGTTTAGTATAACAAATTATATTTACTTTCCCAATAGATAGTTAGTAAACGGTATCTTGCGTTGTCAGATTAGACAATATAAAGATAAAAAATACTTTTGATTGGTGTGTAACGAAGGAAATCATCTGATATAAGCTGCTCTTTAATAGCAAAACTCTTAAATCGAATCTATATTGTCAATGATTAGATCTTCTGAAGGTAGCAATCGCTCTAAAGCAGGCAGTTTGTTCCAACAGCATAAAGTCAAACCACATACGTCGATAAGGGCACGCCAAAGACGCTAGAAGCTTGCTTAGGGGACTTTTATGTATCCACCTTATACCTTGTCAAAGACCAGTGTCTGTTCCAGTCTACAGAGCAGATTTTTGATGGTGAAAAATTGGTTTCAAGAGAAWCTTGTGAGAATCGACTGTACCCGCTATTTTGACAATAAGAATGATGGTTTCCATAAAAGTGAGATTACAAATTATTTTAAAAATTTAAACAAATTATGTTTGTTTATTGTAGCAGCAGAATACATTCCTGAAATAACTACGTGGAATGGCGCCGAGTAGACAGTTTTTGGCCGGATGAAAATCCGGGTCCATTCCGGTTACTTACACCCGACTGTTGTGGGATCAGAAAAATAGAGCTTTACGTACGTTAACGATCGCCACTAGAATGGAACTTATAAAGGATAGGATTGGCCGCCCTAATCAATAGGGTTAAGTGCTGAATATTGCCGAAGAAGTAGCTAGAAATTAATAAAATGTGTATTGCTAAACTATTCCTCTTTGAGGAGACAACAGAACTCATCGCACTCATTAAACGCTATAATACGAGTAATTCATCATTCATTCATTTAAAAGCAGGTGAAGTAGTTACCAAGGAACTTACCTGCTGAGAATGGCGATAAAACACACTAAAACTCAGTTAAATACAAATTATAAATTTATATACCATCTGATCAAATTCGAMCCGGACTGGTTACTTTAAACTACTAACGTAAACCGCATCAATAAAATATTTTTCTTAGATTATTACAATTAATCACGTAGACAAATATTTGTGTGACACAAAGCATTGTGGGCAGGTCATGAAATCATCGAAAACCTAGCACATGTGAGTCGTCCATCCACCGCTGTTAACGACGACGACAACATCGAATAAGTCAAAAGAGCAGTGCTTGAAAATCGTCGGGTTGACGTCAGAGAGATAGCAGGATCTTAGCATCAATCTTGGATCGACACAAGTGTTGGTTAATCTTTTAATTAAATTTTTGA